CTCCTTCAAGGTCTGCCCTGCTGAGCCCCACTGTTGCCCACCCCCTGCCACCCCCCGGGAGGGACAGAGCCCATTTGAGAGCAACTGCCTTGGTTATTTCTGGAATTGCGGATGCAGGGATGGAGACGTGCAGGGTTTGGCTGGGGTAGAGCAGTAGCAGGCTGAGTGATGGAAGTAGATGATGAAAACCGAGCAAACCAAGAAGAAAAGGCAACAGGAACTTCGGTTTCATTGTGTGTGTTTTAAAGATCATTTTATTGGGGGCTCTTGTAACAATCCACACAGCAGTTGTATCAAGTGTATTTGTATATGGGTTGCCATCAGTATTTCCTAGACATTTACTTTTTATTTGAGCCCTTGGTATCAGCTCCTTTTCCCCTCCCTCCCCCCCTGGTGACCCCTTGATCAATTAGAAATTATTATTTTCATATCTTACACCGACTGCTGTCCCCTTCCCTCATGGTTTCTGTTGTTCACCCCTGGGGCATGGGTGGGGGTGGTTCTGTGTCCATCATTGTGATCAGTTCCCCCTCCCTCCCCTCCTCTACCCACCTTCCCCCTCCCCTTCTGGTATCGATACTCCCATTTCGCAGTGTTGAAAAACATGTCCTTGTTTCCAGGATAGGAGGGGTTAAGGGGTGGATTTCTATGGGGGAAGGAATGGTTTAAATTTTTGCTGATTCTCTATCTTGCAATAGGACTGCATAGAACACAATGGAATGTCAATAAAGCTATATAGTCAAGGGGATGATGGCAACCTATGTACAAATGTGCTTGACACAATGGGGGTATGGATTGTGACAAGTCCTGTAAGAGCCCCTAATGAAATGATTTATTCTTTAAAGTGTATAGTTATACAAGGACCTTCAGAACTAATGCTCATGGAAGAGGTAACGAAAAGAGAATGGGATGTTCCCAGGAATGTTTGGAAGCTCCCCCCGAGTCAGTAGCAAGGTTCTCTAGGGGCCCAGTTACACTTTTAAGACAAGAAGGGCCGATCCCGCCTCTCCCAACAAAGCAAAAATTATTCGAGAGGCATAAATGTATCCTGACAAACCAACCAGATCGCCAATACCCGAATGCTGTCCTTTCAACATGTTCAGTCTTCCAGCAGACAGCGCTCACGGCTCCAGAGCCACAGTTTGCCAACCCGGACCCTCGGTCCATCTGGAAGTTGGACACAGTTATTTTGTATGTCTCTGAAAGTGCGTAAGCTCATGGTGCCTGCCATGTGCTTTTTATTTTATTAATTGGGGGCTCCTACAACTCTTATCACAATCCGTACATACATCAACTGTATGAAGCACATTTGTACATTC